TTAATGTTTATATTTTTTTAAATTCACTTCAATTTAATTTAACTTAATTCTTAATCAAATTTTTGGTTCATATATATAACTTTTTTATATAATTTTGATTTATATTATTTAATTTTATTTATTAATTTTTAACGTCATTACGTTAATTTTACATATAGTCTATTAACTTTAATTTTTAAAAAAGTTAATAAAAGAGAGAAAGAGAGAGAGAGAGGGGGGGGGGGAAGAAGAGAGAAACCATAATTTATTCCATTCTTGATACATATATTCTTGATCACGTGAATGTTATATGCATAAACATTACTGAATGTTTCGCTGACATGATTGAAAGGAATACAGTCGGGATTGTTTATACATCCGGAGTTGCATCATGCGTGTGTCATTTCTTATCAACGAGAATCATATGACAAGCCGGAGACCCTTTTAGTTAGCAAAAAAGAGGAGAGGAATAAAGAAAAATCAAAGGTTTTCGCTGCGAGATTCGAAAAATAAAAGCCTGCATATATTCTAAACACATTGAATTTTTCATCAAATTCTCACATATACTATGCGTGAGTTACATGGGAATAGCATAATAACAGTTCACTGTGTTGTTTAACGCGTAAATTCAGTGACGCATTACGAGACACGTGGGGCACCAAGGTCGTGTCGAAATGTAGAAACTGTTATTACAGAATAGATAATATTTTGTTAATTAAAAATCGGGATAATTTTAATTACTACGTGATCTTTATTGCTTTAGAAATGTTATTTTTTCTCGGATTATAAGTGTTAGATATATTTAAGAATGATTTAGTATTTAAGAATAATTTCCGAAAAATCTTTAATATATCTCAGATTGTCATGATTCGAATGTACATTCGAGTATTTGTCTCAAAGCAAAGAAAGGAAAAAAATAGAAAGTACTCAAATGTACGCTGAAAATAAATTTATTAAATCTTAAATGTTGGATGACTGTAAAAATTTGTGCCCAATGTATTATTCAAATAGTTGTTATTTTTGTTAAAAATAAAATAAAATCTTACTCTGATTGAGAGAATTTAAGAATCTGTTTTTTTTAACATAAATATAGTAGAAAGTGCTTAGGATCGGTCAAAATTTTGAGTATTGAGATATTTCGAATAATATAATATTCTTGGTTCATGAATTTAATTTATCTCAAATGTGATGAGATACTAATCTTTTAAACTGTTTTTTTAAATTGTAATGGTTAGGTTTTGAGGGAGTTATGAGTAATCAAAGTATCAAATCAAAATATTCTTTTTATTTAATTCGCAATTCAGTAATCGTAGGGACATTATTTAAAAACGCTTTTATTTAGGGAAAATCAAAGGGAAAACTTTAAGGTTTTACATTAGAAATTACAAACTTGCAATTTTTTTGGACATGTGACATGCCCACAGAGTGAAGAAAAAATTTCCCCTTTTGTTTAACTCATAATTTTCTATGTGTAAAAATTACAAAACTCACATAAATTCAAAAAATATAATACCATTTAAAATATAGTACCAAAAAATATAGTAACCATTCGAAAGTAGAGATTTCAAATCTTTAAATTCTTTTCTTAATCTAAATTTCGTTTATGTTTAACAAAATTGCAGCTGTTTGAACTTTAAATAATTAATCAGGCATGAATTTTTGCTCTCCACTCAATATTTCTTTGAATAGTGCCAAGTAAATTTACTTACAGTAAATGATATTTATTTAATAAAAAATAACAGTTAAATCAAATTAATGATTTTTGTATCAAATAAACATATGTTTATATTTAGTAAATATAAATATTTAGGATCGTTCGAATCAAATTTATTTAATACATTTTAAATAATATATTTTTAAAAATATTTAATTAGTACCATTCGAACATTTATTAAAATTTAGTAAACTTTTTTTTTTCAGTAACATATATGAAACATTGCAAGAAGCATCCCACGTTTATATCCCACGTTTTTCGATGAGATATATATAGAAATTTGAGATATAAGTAAGTATTGTAATCGAATATTATGATCGTAATCATCGCCGTTAAAGAAATTTAAATAACCGACACAGTGAGGAAGCCCAAAACTCTGGCCGCATCGCTTCGGTCGGAATTGAAGCTCATCTCGCTCATCAATCATATTTGATTGACGTAATAAGCAATGCGGTGATCAAGCCGTAACGTGATGTGAAACTATATTACACTACGCTAAGTGACGTGACGAAAAGTGACGCGTTGAACAGGCCGAAGCTGCGCTTTCATATCTCATACAAAAAGTGTAGAGCCGAGGGTAGGCGAGGAATACTTACCGAAATCGATGAACTGTTTTATCGAGAGTGGCGAAGGGTTGAATTGCGAGTAGAAGTCCAACATTTTGCCGATGTTGCCGAGGCAGTTTCGTGTGAGCTTCATCCCGCGACGTGTTAACGTTACACATCAAAGCCGGCACGATCGTGCTTGGTTCGCCGCGCGTGTTGGATGAACGGGACGAGGAGGAGGAGGGGTGAACTTCGGCCGAACTCTGACCGTTTCCGTGGCTGTGGAAGAGGAAACGTCGCAAAGGAAACGCTGCTCACGTTTTTTTCGTGCTCGATGGCGATAGAAGATGCGCGAGAGACGGACCGTGGTCGCGCCGGTGGTTCGCACGATAAAGAAATCGCATCGACGAATGCTGAATAGTGAATACTGCGTACACCGCGGAGCGCGGTGCGGTATATGCGGGATTCGCGTCGGGCTGCGCATGCGCAACATCACTCCTTCGGACCCGATAGAGGAGAGCTCGTCATCGCGCGTACATTTAATTTTGCGCTTCGAATTAATAATCTTCAGGGCAGGGAAGTAACTACCCAACAAATGAGAATGGAAATGAATTGAAATGAATTCAGATTTTCAGAAATATTGATTCACGAATGTTAAAATGAATGCTTTTCAATCCTGAATGCATTTTTATTCATTTATAGGAATTGCTTGGAGCATATCTCTATGCCTTTCAATCTAAAAATAATATTAGCTTTTTCTGTGCACACAAACACAATTGTGAATACTGTTCAATTCAAAATTTTTAATAGGAAATGCAGTTTTTCAATCCAATCGCATCTAATTGAATCTAATTAAATCCAATTGAATCCAATTAAATCCAAAAAAAATATTCACTATTTAAAATACGCATTCAGATAGAAAAAAATTTTAATCCATTTTAATCTATTGTCGTTTGCTAGGTAGTTACTTGTAACTAAGTTACAGTTACAGTTACTTTTTTCAGTAACTTACAGTTCCTTTTTTTCATCTGTAACTTAACTGTAATTTAACTTAGTTACATTTTTTCCAAAAACTAGTAACTAATTTAACAATTACTTTTACAGTTACTTTACATTTAAAATTTTATATATTTGTCAATGTAATGTGATTGAGTAAAATCTGAATATTGATTAAAGCTATCCACTTGATGCTACAAAATATATGCTTTGAAATATTTTTTGATTGGTCAATAAATTGTAAATGTAAATTATTTTTTTTTTAATAGCCCGAATTGATGTTATTCATATTATTCTGTCATGATAACTGAAAAGTAACTTTTCAGTTACTTTTTTAGTAACTATAATTGTAATGAGTTAATTTTAGTCTCGGTAACTTAGAACTGTAACTAGTTACTTTTAAAAGAAAAAAATTGTAACTGTAACTAGTTATTTTTACAAAGTAACTTTTCCAACTCTGATAATCTTACAATTAGTTTTTAATTAATTAGGGGATGCTTTTCCCCTTTTAGACGCACGAGTCGACATAAATATCATTTTATTTAACAAAGTTTAAACGACGAGATTCTCGAAATTCGAAATAATAATAAAATTAGTATGTTAGGCATCCTTGATAAAAATAGAAGTCGGAGCGTAAATCGGATGTAATGAGAGAGTACCGGACCTTCTACAATAAGCCATTAGTCATAAATCAAAGTCAGAAGCTAAAAATTGATGACTGTGGTAGGTCAATTTTTAGCTTTTGACTTCTGATTTATGACTAATGGTTTATTCAGCTTATTGTAGAAAGCTCATAATAGAGAAGCGTAAACTTCTAGAAAGCGAAAATTGAAATAATGAAACGTAAAAGAAATATTTACATTTTGATGTTTCAATTTTTGTCTTCTAGAAGTTTCGTTTACGCTTCTGTTACTCTCCCATTTGACTTACGCTCCGATTTTTGTTTTTCATCAATACAGCGGTAATCATTTTATTTTTCTCGACTTAGAAATTAAGAATAGAAATAGAACTAAATGATATCACTAAATGGAAAGGTCATTCAAAATTATTCTGAAGTTTCTAAATACTCGAAAAAAAATGTTATATAAATGGACATATTTTATATATGTCCATTTATATAACATTTTTTTTCGAGTATATAAATATATATCACAGCAAACGAAAATGGATCGAAATGTGGATTAAAATGTATTCAGATTTTCAGAAATACGGATTTATGAATGCTAAAATGAATCCTTTTTAATCCTGAATGCATTTTTATTCATTTATAGGAATGGCATGGAATACATTTCTATGCTTTTCAATCTAAAAATAATATTATTTTGTGTGTGTGTGTGCATCGTAAATACTGTTTGATTCAAAATCCTGCATAGGAAATGCAGTTTTTTAATCCACTTGAATCTAAAAATAATATCAGCCATTTCTGTGCATCATGAATACTGTTCAATTAAAAATTCTGAATAGGAAATCCAGTTTCTAATTGAATAAAAAAATGTTTTTCTTTTAAAATGGGCCATAAATGCTATTCAAAATTGTGAATAGGAAATCCAATGTTTTATTTAAAAATGCATAAATACTATTTTATTCAGAATTAAGAATAAGAAATTTTTTGTTTTAATTCAACTGAATTAAAATAAAGTTGTACCATAAAAGTATATCATGAATTCTACTTCATTTAATAGTTAAAAGAAACATAAAAAGAACTATATATATATATATATATATATATTTCATATTAATATGTTTTACAGCTAGCGTAATAACTATAAAAGTTCATGTAATTATTACTTTAATTTATTTAAACTTTTACACATAATTTTTTTTACATGGAATCAAATTCCATGTAAAATTTTTTATGGATTTAAAATACGGATTCGGATGGATTGAAAATTTCTAAGATAATTGTATATAAAATTTGTCAATTTTTACATAACTATATATCATTTTATATAATTATGTATGAAACATTTTTTCCCGGGTAATAATCATGTTTTGAAACACAGAGAAAGACAATACAATCACTCTTATAATACATGATTGAATTTCAGACCCTACAAAGTTTAACTTTTAATACAATTGCAAAGTTCTATAGGCATCTGGAAGTTTTAAAATTTTGAATATTTGATAGGTTGAAAGTACCGTCATTTTTCTAATCTCACGCAAATCCTTTCCAAGTTATTTTTGGAATAAGTTATTCCAATCACATTCAAAAGATATTTTTGACAAAAGAAATACATGTAAATGGCAAGTATACAATATATTCCAGGTATAAAATATATTCCAACCGTAGAAACAAGTAACATCCTTCTGCATTCTGTCAGCCAAAAAAGAGAATTACAGTTCGTAAGTGCATTCTGTTTCGACCATTCGTATTTCGGAAGTGACGTTTGGCGCCACTTGTCGTCCCTGTAATGATACGGGGGAAACAATTAACCTTTATGTTCTTGCGCGCCTCGCACGGGACGTTCTTTTCACCGGAGGTGTGCGATTGATGAGAATTCGCGTCACCGATTGATCGGCGTGAACGCGTTCCTCACGCTGGACTCGCTAAATGTGACGAGAGACAGGTTGGATGTCCATCGTGCGCAGCGAAACGCGTAGTTTTTAGGTTAGGAATACTCATGTTCAGAGCGTCCAATTTTCTGCTGGATGGACGACGCGCCTCATGCGACCCGCGCGATTTTGCGTTCTGTCGATCGAGAGTAGAGACGAATCGTGATCTGCGCGAAATATCGGCAGCGACACGAGACGAGTTTTTCCTCAATCTTTTTCGAGTTAGCGAGAAATTTTGTTCGCGCAATCAATTTGTTCCTTCTCGAGCGTTCAGGTGCGCGCTTGACTCGTGCAGCGGCGAGATCGGCGCTGTTAATTTCCGGCGGAGGCAAGCCCATGTGGACGAGCGCAGCAGATACCACGACCACGCTCAGTCCGTGATCAAGCGTGTTTTCAGCGTGTCTGCAATTGCACGTTCTCACGCGTCGCAGATCCATCTGCCCCTCCGGTTGTCCCACGTCACGCCATCCGGACTCCGTCGCGTCGCCATGGCAGACTTGGACGATTTTTTTGCTAAGAAAGATCGAAAGAAGGCCAAGGGCAAGAAATTCGCCACGACCGACGAGGTCGCCAAGAAATTAGAAGAAACGGGCAAACGGCTCGAGAAGCCGAAACCGAAGGAGAAGCCAGCGAATCCCGAAGGCGAGGAGTCTCAGCACACCGAGGTAAGGCGATGACAGGGATAACGACAGGAACGATGATTCGTTCACGCGTTTTTTTATATTACGGAATTCCGAAACCTCGTGTCTACGCCACGGCGCTGCCATGTTTGTTCCCACGAAGGAGGAACAGTTGCGTGGAAAAGCTGACGGCGATGACGCGCGACGTTCCCGGAAAGTTCTCCGGACGTCTCGGAACGCCTTACGTAATCATCGGACACGCAGGATCGCTCACGCGCGTTTTATGGCAGCTGTTTCACATACACGTGTTCTTCGGAGTTTCCTCCCCCTTCTCTTCTCCTTTTTTGTAATAAGAAAAAATGGTTTGGATGTTGGATTCCTCAATACTTGACAAGGGACAGAATATGCTGTGACAATTAACTGAAATACTTTCTCGTAATTTTTCAAAATTATCTTCTTGAAAATTTTATAATATTTCTGCATTAAATGTGAAAGCATTACGAACTGCAAAGTATTTTATCATGAGTCACGGATATAATATGCATGAGAACTACATGATTTGCAAAAGACTTGATGAATCGCTATAGTGATAGTTTGAAGTAAATTAGGAAACAAGAATATATATGTCATGAGTGTATTTTATTTTTAGGATGAAGACGAATGGAAAGAGTTTGAGGAGGAGAAAAAGGATTATAGTGGTTTAAAAATCGGACATTTAACAATAAATGATAGCGTCGACGCAGAATCGGATGACGAGAGGGGTACCTTTGAAATCTGTTCTGATGGCGAGTCTGGTGAGGGTGGCACAAAGTACATGGGACCATGGAAGAAACCGGATTTACCACCAGAAACACCGGAAGTGGTGCCAACACCGCCTGCACCCCCTGTTGCTGCTGCCGCTGCCGCCGCCGCTGCCGCCGCCACCGCTACCTCCACTGGAAGTAGTTACAAAGCACCACACTTACGAAATCAACCTACATTCGCTAGTCCGCGACCACGAGGGAGAAATGTCGCACCCGATATAAATAGCGAGGAATACTTCCCTACGCTGAATTCCAAGCCCCAGCAGCAAAATAATGGCAGCGGCCCATGGGGTAGACGGTAAGATAACAGCAAAGTCTCCATAATAATGTAAATTAGTTTCGCTAATGGAACATGTTTATTTTCATGCGAATGAAAAGGAAAAATAATGTTGAGTTGCAACATCAAGTGATATTGAGCTCAAATATACGACGAGTATTTTTAATTACAGACGGCGAGAGGAAGGAGTGTTTGAGGAAGTTCGCAATCGAGGTGGCAGTAGATCGTACAATGTATCAGAATCGCAAGCTCAAACACCCAAGCTTTCGCTTGGCAACAAGTACGGCGCCTTGTCGCAAGATCAGAGCTGAAAACGCCTGTCTCGATGGAATCAAACAACATGCAATCAATATCACATCGTCGCCCCTCCCTGCTTCGTGGCCCAACCTCATCGAGAAAATCTATTTTCTAGACTAGGACGCAGTGTATATTATAGAACGTGTATGCACGTACACACGTCCCAACTTCGTGAAATTCCGAGGATGCTAATTCCGGTTCTCTCGTTGGCGATTCTGAAATAATTGCGGGACGGATCGTCGATCTTAGGTATTTGCACACACGTGCGCTCATGGACTTTGTAACTAACTCGAAATGAATATCGCATGTGCGCAAGCTTATTTTCATACCGTATAGACAACGTGGTTGGAAATCGATTTTTATATTTGATTTTGTAATCAGCATAGTGTGTAGTATGCTGCTTCCAAGAAAGCGCCAGGACGATAGAAGAATGGATTCCGACGTTCGAATCCTCAAAAAATAAAAAAAAGAAAAGAAAAACAACGTCGAACCGGAACAACATTGTTACCGCGAGTATATATTATCGTTACGCGCGGATTGTAGTCTAAAGAAAAAGTATCGTTCGTTAAGGTATTTTATGTATATTCGCACTTTCTTTTTTTTTTATACGGTGCTACTTTTAATTTAGCGTGCATAATTACTGCCACGATCGATGCCTTCTCATTGAGTATTATCGATGTAAATAGGACTGATCACGTTGACGTCCGAACACGATAAGCTTCGAGATCGGCATGATAACGTCGAGATCGAAATTCACGATTAATCTGAGCGATTCTGTGTGAGAGCTATCTTTGAATAAGTCTCGAAGGATCGCGAGATGCTTCTTGGATCCTTTCTCTTTCTCTCCCTCTCTCTTTCTTTCTCTTTCTTCTCTCTTCACTTTCGAAGGAGAAAGTGTCGCTTCGCTCAAAATGGCAACGTGGGTCAACGAACGAAAATTTTTAGATAAATTAAGCTATAAATATATATATTGTATGTATATTATTAATCAAATTTCGTGGGGCTGGGCTTTCGAACGGTGCGGAATCAATAAGGGTAACGAAGAACTAACACGAACGCAACTTTGAGTGAGAGTAACGAGGGGCAAAATAGTTAATTAAAAATCTAAAACACAAGCTACCGTGTCGCAGTGGTGTTGTGTACAAAATAATAGGAGGGAGAAAGACATACGCATACACTCGTGTTAAACATAAAATGGAAATCCTATGTACGCCTTTGTTGACATTTGTATAATTCTCTTTTTGTTGATAATAAGAGTTTTTTTCCCACGATAAAGAGAATATGCGGCAAATAAATATCGATTCCGTTTCTTGGGAGACGGTTTCTCATTGTTGGCGGATCCTCCTCGGCGGGATGGCGCGTGTTATTTACGCAATGAGGGGAATGCCATATGGAAACGATAGATAATAATAAGAATTCTTGTATAGCGTGTGATAAAATGTGATTATTTATAAATAAATTTCTTAGGATAACTCGTACGTACTGCCTCCGAGCATTTTTTTTTTAATTTGCCGTATCGTCGTATCGACCAATTCCCGAACGCAGCACACGATTACTTAATTGTGTGCGTGAACGATCTGGCCGATCGACTTTTTATGAACACGATCCATAGATCGGAAATACGTCGGCAATGGAGTTAACATCGCATTAATTGTAGCGCCAGGAGAAGTTTAATTTAAGCACGTGACGAAAACGCGCAATACCGGTGCCTCTTGGAGACAGTTTCGAATTGATTTTGCCGCCGTCGCGGCAACGCGGACTAGCCTGCCCTTTGTTACAGAATAGTTGAGATACAATAATTTTATCGCTACTGTTACATGAGAGCGAGCGATAGAATGACAGGAAGTGAGAGTGCGCGAAAGTATGGGATACGAGCGTACGTGACGTATTTAATAAAATTCAATCACACCGAGATACTTCCATGTTTCTTCCGTTCCTTCATTTTCAAAATCCTATTTTATATGTCACTGTCGTAATTCTTTCTTCTCAAAAATTTAAAAGAATGGATTATTACGTTGTTAAGGGAATATCAGACCCTTCCCCTCCATCCCTTCACATAAAATGTGTCTTTCTTTGTTTTTTTTTTTCAAAAGGGAGTATTAAAAGGAGTATTAAAAGGAACGTGTAAAAATTCGTAAAGATTCATATATACATCGTTTCAGACATTTCGCGCGACATCTTTGTTTTGCTCAGTCTATACGCCATATTTAAAAGCATGAAAACAATTCGACAAATTTTTTGAATTTTGTATTTTTCGCAACCTAATTTTTAAAAACATAAAGATTAGAAGAGTAAAATAAAAAAAAATAATCGATTTTTTTATCAGTAAAAATATTATAAAATTAATACAATTGTATCACAA